TGTTTTGTCATATTTTAATACCATTCATTTGAAAACCTGAAAGGAGTCAAGGGAGTAACAATCATCATCATTCTCTTTATCAACTTAATTGCATTGCTAAGGTTAGGAAAGCATTTTTACATACATTAAAGGACTTCTTCTAGTTTTTAAGTGTGTTTGCCTCAATGTGTGAGAAGCGTTGGTTAAAAATAATGTGGTCCTGAAATTTTTCTTGCATGTGCTCCTTGTCCTCCCCTGGCCTCTTTTTATTTCTTGGAATTCTTACGTCTGCAGCGTTGCAATCTATTAGTTTCATTATTTAGCAATTCAACATTAAAATTGCCCCATGGATATGGCACCAGGCAAATGCTCAGAACTCTCTCTTTGTGTTGTGTGTTTCTGCTTGTGTGCATGATTTCTTGAACAAGTCTTGTGCTGCAGCAATGGTTTAGCAATATGCTCTATCAGAGAAGTCATACAAGAACTTTTGAGCATCTTAGGTGCTAACAGATGATGCACTAAATATTTCTAGACAGGACATAAACATGTGCCCTATTAATTATAGTCTCCCATGCTTTGTCCTCTGTGTAATGATTTACTTCTCTAAAAACAATTTGTAGTACATCCCTCACTGCTTGTCCATTGCTGGAGAAAATTGGCAAAATGGAGAATGCATTAACCGTTATTTGGAAAGCTTGTCTTCACCACTTTACATATATATTTTCATGGTGCCTATCATCTTATCCTTACCATCTGCTGTGTCACATTAGGGGCGCAAGTTTTCTATCCAAGGTCTTTTAGGTACAGAAGTGTGCTCCAGCTCGTTTCTTGATGGCACTTTAGTGATATTTCGGTTGGCACCACAGGTTCTTGCTTGTCAATTTCTTATTGTTCATGAAAATATGTAGGGTTCCTTATTCTGTTGAAGTGAATATATGTAAATATTGGCAGGATTACCATCGTTTCCATTTTCCTGTTTCTGGAACTATTGAGAAATTTGTGGATATTCCTGGATGCTTATACACGGTATGCTCAGATGTATACCTTCTTACCTTCTTTGTTTTATCTTTGAGTTGTCCTCATTTCAGTTATCTTTACGACTTCAAGGTGAACCCTATTGCCGTGAATAGCAAGTATTGTAATGTGTTCACTGAGAATAAACGTGTTGCCGCTCTCATTTCAACAGCAGATTTTGGAAAGGTTTGTCATTTCAAACACTTTCCCCGAGATTTCTTAGTTGTGGTAGAAATTAATTTGTATCTAAAAAGTGATTTCCATCTTTGAGATTCTTTGTCCCGCTACATTTCTAATCATTTCTCTTTGATATAAGTGCCTTTTTTGTCATCAAGACTTTAGATGATTATTATTCCGACAGTTCCTGAGTAAATATCATATATTTGTCAGCAATATCCTTCAGCATCTAGGATTCCTAGTCACTTGTTGTCGATTTTATATCTCGCAAGTGCACAGATCGTAACAAGTAATAAAGTAGACTTTTGAGTTCGGATTATCGTTCCCACGAGGACTATTATTACTTAATCTAATATTTCTAACTCCTATTTGATGAAACAAAGAAAGAATTATATGTTGTGATTCTTAGTCTAATTATTTGAAAATATGTGAATGCACATTTAAATTTCAATGTAGCATGGATATTAGGGCGGAACAATTTCACATATTGGTCACCTTTAAGTCTTAAATCAAGATTCAAAATTGCATGTAGAGTTCGATTGAATTCTTCTATTGTATTCAATTTACCTCTCTTAAGTTTTTTCATTGAGCCTATTTAACTAATTTAATCCCATATTTCTATGCGAATCAACCTTAGTTAAACGAAACATTGGTTGTAAGAATTCATATATGATTGCAATATTCAGTATAGGTATCTCTACACGTTATACTGATTTATCAGATTTTATTGTATGGTTTAAATCTTAAACTCACCTCTCGATTCATAAAATATTTAGAAATCATCAAATTAATGATCAAGTAATTTAGCATATTAAACTTATAGCAAAATCAATACATGAAAGATAAAAGAACAAAAATTTTAAATAACAGACATAAAGGGTCTCAATAAGTTATATATTTTGCCCTAATATTAATTTAGCTATTCAGTATAATGGAAGAAAAACAAATAACAATTATGCAGTACATCACCAGGTTTTAAATTGAGATGTAGAGAAATTAATGAATGTTGCACCAAGTTCCTTTTCTCGTTCTAAATCTTAATTTCAACTCCTTTGAATTGTTGTTTTTCACCTTTTCAATTTGCTCTCTAATTCTTTAGGTGTATTCTCTTTTTCTCAATGTGTGAAATTCCCTTCAAAAGTGTGAAAAACTTGTATTTATAGTTGCTCCCTCATTTATATTGAAAGTAGGATTTTTATGGACTTCAAACGGGTCAAGACACGCCCTATATGTTCCCAGGCGACGCCTCAACGACGTAGGAGTAGCACTGCGGCTTTGTTTTGGTGGCGCCTCGACGTCACGGGATGCCACCTTTTGGGTGAAAATCAAACTGCACTTCCTTTAGTTTTTTTATTATAACTTTCAATCCCGATATCCGATTAAAGCGACTCAAGTTGGATTGTAAAGATAACTCAAAGAGCTACAATTTTATAAGCAGTAGCTCTTTTCCAATTCGAATGTTTACTAGGCCAAAAATAGGTCTCAATCTCCTGTTGAAAATCTGGAACATCCTTATGCGGTTGAAAATTGATTTGTGAAAATATTTTGATCATATTTCATTCATTTTGACTTCTAATTGCATCCAATTGACCTCTAACATTCTCGAATCTTCACCATGAAGTTCGACACAATTTCTGAGTATTTACACTTTAGTTCTCAAACTTTGGATCTTGCCCCCCTTTTTGTCAATTTTCACTTCTTTCTTTCAATTCCACTTCCATTCATCGAGTTTCACCTAATAAATAAAATATAAAATAAATTAGACTATAAGTGTTCAACAAAAAAACTATTAAATGTCTATATTTTTTGGTCCAAATAAGTTTATAAAATACACCTATCATGACTCTCATGATGAAGGCTGATTTTCTCTACTTTGACCCCTCGTCCCAATAAATCTGAGATAGGATCCTGAAATCAGGTGACGAGTCGGATTGTTTATGTAGGAAGCACAATATGTTAATAATAACTTCCTCTGAAATTTCTGTCACAAGTGCTAGTTTTCTATCGTAGCTTCCACTTTTAGTTGGAATACACTCTGGGTATTCTTTTAATCATGGACTATGTATACTTAAATGATTTGCCTATATTTTTAGCACGTCATGACAATCCTCTTAAGTGATTCACCAAGTCCATGCCTTCAACTTAAATGATACGCCAAGTGTATGAATTTTACCATGGGAAAATTTAGAATTCTTAGACATGAAATCAGATATTGATTTCTTTCATAGTTTTGGATTTCGTAAACCTGATGATGAAAGGATAATCATTTATGAGACCTTTTCTCTTTTTTCATCTCTCACACTTGATGGGCTGAACTTATGCAGTTGATTGCATATTTAAACATATGTAAGCTATGTTTCCCAGTCAAAACAATTAAATGGTTTTCACCTGTGTTTCATGCTTCTAAATATCAAACTCTGTTAACCGTTCAAATGTTACTGTCTGTACAGAAATTAAAAATACACTATCCATGATAGGTAACGAAGTGTTTTTAAAAAATGAGTGCAGGTGGCGTGTGTTGCTATTGGAGCAACTATGGTTGGCAGCATAACTTTCTCTAGAAAGGAGGGTGATTATGGGAAGAAAGGAGATGAGGTTTACATTAAATAATTTTAACTGTTTTAATTAACTAATACTTGCACATTATAACTTTAAGTGCGTTTCACTTTAATCAATTTAATTTGCAGCTTGGTTATTTCTCATTTGGTGGAAGTACTGTGATTTGCGTTTTTGAAAAGGTTAGTATTTATACTTGTCTCATTTGGTGGAAGTACTGTGATTTGCGTTTTTGAAAAGGTTAGTATTTATACTTGTCGATCCAAAAAATCTATTTCTTTTCCAGACTATTTCTTGAAGATACAGAGGCACCGCTTGGTGATTTGGAGGGTGACAAGGCTTACGCTACCTAAATATCTAATCTCTTAGATTTCAGGAAGATAATTTTACAGAAATGATGATGAAGTCTTTCTTTTGCCACAACCTGAGTTTGCCCATTCGCATGCTAGTTGGTTATATTTTCTTTGTAATTTAGTCAAATGTGAAAGAACATCGACGAGCCAAAGCCTTCACAATTGATTTATTTTGTCGATTCCCCAAGAAGTTTTGTTAGTTCATTGAGTAAAAGTCTCGTTTAAAATGGATTGCCAGCATGTTTATACTGAAATATAATGATTTGCTTGATAACTGTTAAAGCTATGTCCAAATTTGTTGAAATTTGGCAGGATACAATCAAGATAGACGACGATCTCTTGGAAAACAGTGCAAGATCACTTGAAACCTTAGTTTCTGTTGGAATGAGACTTGGCATCTCCACGAAGAAACCATCTGATAGCAAGTTGCCAAACATCGAAAAAATCATACTATAGAGGAATTGAACGTGCAGCAAATTCTACAGACAAAAAGTTATATCATTGCTTTAATTATAACGGTAGAGGCACTGTCAATTGTCACCATTATCCAGTGAAAGCAACTGGTGTCTCTAAAGTCTCTTAGTCGTTTCACAGTCACTGTAAGAGAGGTAGCCATCATGTATACATACATTGGGATGTGAATCATAAAAATTCTGTCACTCATGGTTCTTATTTTCTGCATCGGTCATCAATGAAGGCTTTCTTAAAATAGCTTTGATTTGCAAAAGCATGGAGCAATTCTGTTGCTACAGATTTGAAAGCTTGGCATCATGCACATTGCTGGAGTATGTCTACTTTTTAGGTTGTAACAATTATTTTCTTATGTCTATTTTTTAGGTTATAACAATTATTTTCTTGCTAACTAATCTCTATACCATACTCAATTTAACAGAAGCCATAGCATAATAGATTCTATGAAAAAAATGATTGCTGGGTGAAATTTTTCTTAGTCAATTTGCTTCCTGTTTGATAATTTATTAAATAATATGCATCATGCATTTTCAATGCGATTTTTTCTTCTCTTCTCCTTTAGGATAAAATTGCACTATTGTCATTCTACCACCATAATCTGTTAGTATCAGTACGTTTATAGATTCTACTACTACAAAGAGTATCTTTGAAGGATCTGACTTCCCATCGTGTCCACAGATCTGTTTCAAGGTTTCCCCTGGAGAATTTTGCCACAGATCTGTACATCTTCAGTAGGTTCTCATGTAAGCTCCTTTGATGTATGGATATGGATTTTGATGTGGGTTAACTAATCCTACTTGTCCTTGCAGTCCATCTCTTGCGTACTGTTGCCACATTAATTGCTCTTCTACTAAAAGTTTCTGTTTCTTTTCCATCTCGAACATCTGAACATACAATGGTGGTGCTATTGCTCGTGAGGCTGCAAAAGGGTCAGAATTTGTTGACAAGTTGGTGGCTCCACCAGTTGGTGGTGGAGCTGGCAATGCCAGCATGGCCGGCCTTCCAGTCGAACCTATTGCAATGCTACTTGCATCTCCAGTGGCTTTAAGACCTGAAGAAGCTGCTGCCTGAGCTATGGCCCCTTGTTGATCCATACCATCAAGCATCAATGAGTCGAAGCCCCAGGGAAGTGATGCCTTTTGGTTCGACAACTTGCTGGCCGACTGAACCAATTCTGCTTCCCAATCGTCTGATTCTTTGAAGGCTTCCCATGGAGTTTCTGTACACGTAATGGTTGGTGCTGGATAGCTATCAAATAAGGCTAAAGCCAGTTTGTCCCCAGGTTCTTCTGTAGATGGAGCATCTTCACCTAAGTTCAACAAATCTCCTACTTCTTGGGTTTTATTATTCTCCTTACTCGTCACCTCTTCGTCTTTCTTTTCTTCATCTGTTTCTTCAAGAAATTCTTCTGGTGCTGGCAAGGCTTCAATTCTATTCATGTCCTCTTTGGGTTTTGACTCTTTGGTTTCTACAGTTGGTTCAGGTCTTGGTACCATGATCTGATTCCTCCTTTTTTGTGCCATTATTGATTTCTCTTTGATGAATTCATCCATGACGTCTAGTTTCTTTGGTGGTATTTTCCCAATGTCTGGATATTCTGTAGAATGTGCTACTCCAACACTCTTGCACAAGACATAGAAAGCGTCAAGCTGATCATAGTCCTTTGAAACTCGACAGAATATCTCGTAAACTGTTACTGAATCAGGGATATCAAGCTTCATGAACCGATCGATCAAAATACCGATGATTTCTGATATATCATAATATAGCTGAAAGCTCTCTTTTACTATAGGGTACAGAGAAACAGTTACAACCTTGTTAAATTTTGCAACCCCTGTTTCAAAGTTAAGAAAGTGATGTTAGGACAATGTCAAGTGTACATAATTTTTTTATCTAATATTTTACATACTACTCAGGATAAGGGGGAGGGGACCACATTTGAAAATTTTTACATTTACGCGAGGCCCACTTACATTGTGAGAGTAGGGACAACTTTCGATACCTCCAATTCGATACAATATAGGAAACTTTTTAAAACATTATATGTCCCGTATAGTGGGTTAAAATTATATTTTCAGTGGATTTTGATAATGTTGCTACACAAATAGAGTCAATAACACGATTTAAAAGCAGGGATAGGTATTAAAAATTCATTGGGGATTTTGAATAAAGAAAAGAGCCACATAGCGTTTGTCAAAAACCCTGTCAAAAGCCCTATTCAAGTAGCATTATTTTTTTGATAAAAGTTGATGAAACATGTGGTCGAAAAATTGTGGTTTTCACGAAATATGTTGTTAAATTAATTGTTGATTTTGATTTAAGTTTATGTGAAACATAGAAATACAAACCTGCTGGTCTGCATGCTAAAAATCTCTCAAGAAGTTGCATCAGATGCTGAATCCTTGAGAATATCCGTTCATTCTTCATTTCGCACACTGGTGTTGCACCCACACCCTCGGCTTTCCAGCCAACCTCGTTTTCCTCGTCTTCGTAGGCAAATGCAGTGTGCGTCCCCCGCTTGCCTTGCATCTTGAATTCAAGATGTTCGTCCAGGTACAATGCATATGCTCGGATAAACGCAGAATAATCCCAAGAGTTCGACCGAGAACTTCCTCGAAAACCAGACATGTTGAGAAGACGAGTCCCACGCCTCGTCGCAAAGAAAATCTCCTCTGCAAAGGCTGGATCTCCTTCTGTAAGTAGCCTCTGGATCAACACCAATGTCTTCAGTGCCACAACCCAGTTCTTTGTTTTGCTCATGCGCCTTGAAATGGTGCTAACGCATGCGCCTACATATGGACGCGAGTAGCACGTTAAGGTCAGAATTTCTCTGATATGCTTCTCGTTCGGTGGGTATTCGTCATGCCTAGTGGCCTTAACAATGGCTACCTGGAGGTCTGACAACAAGGAGCTCCTACCGACTTTGGCTAAGCCTATGCTGGTTTGATCCTTCACTGCTCCAATAACATTTCTAATCGTGCTAGGAGCCATGAATTGTAAGGCTTCAACTCGAGCAGTACGACCCTACCTGATTGTACGGCTCGTTCTGTTGATCAAGGAATCCGTCCAAAATTTGAGGTCAACAAAGGTAGCATTTTCTTTTACATTTTATGTGGGTTTCCATTTGCAAATGTAAAATCTGAGGATCTGGATTTTAGTTAGCAGATTATGAAGAATGATCAAAAGGGTGGTTCAGATGAATTTATGGGATTTTCTCGACAGGAAAATAAATTTTGGAGACACACTCTCTTTCCCTTTCCTTCCTCACACACGAAAACTCATTTTTCTCTGTCTGTCTGTCTCTTTCCTCTGATTTTCGTTGTGTTTGGCTGGCGTTGATTAATCAGCACCCATTATCATTTCTTTTTCCATTATATAACGCGGAGAAAAAATTTTCTGGGACGGTGCCAAATGCCGAGCCATGATAGGCCCCATGGAAGATTTTCCCTTAAACGCGGGATCCCATTGACGCAACTTCAAGTCAACGTGGGGGTTTAATTTATACGTGGGGCAGGAAAATTTAAGACTGAAAATGTCGGGGAAATTTGGGTTTTTGAGAATTAATAATTGGATTGAAAGATTAATAAAATTGAAGGATTTAATAATGACCTTTTTTTTTTGGGTAAATTATTATAATAGTGGATCATATATAGACTCCGTTTGATTTTCATTTTTCTCTCTTCTTTTTAACTAAACATTCTTCATTAAAATAATATTATACGTAAATAAATTTTTTCCTTATTTTTCATCTGCACATTTTCCATCAATCAATTATTCTAAAATTTATTTTTCCATAAAAATGGATATCAAACACCCTTATAATATGTGATTAAAATTGATACTTATGCCCCGTTTGGTACCAATTTTTGTAAAAATGAGAATAAAAAATATAGTCATTACGGGACTCACACAAGAGATAGATAGTCAAATATGATGACTTAATATGATGGATAACGATCATATTTTTCATTTTTGTGGTCAAAGAATGAGAATCAAACGGGGCTTAATCAATTTATAAGCACTTAAAAGCAGACCGACCCTAAACTAAAACCACCTAGACAATGGCCTACGGCCTCAAATATTTGAAGGGCCCAAAAAATAAACCTTATAATCTACTTCTAGCGGGAAGTGGAAGGAAATCTTGTTATTACGGATTACTGCATGGAATGATGTCTATGATTTGCTCAAGAAAGGAAGGTACTTGGTTTCTTTATCTTCTGTTTGGTAGGGATTAAAATCAATTTTTTAGTAAATTTTGTTAAAAATTGATAAAATATGTGGTTAAAAAGTTGTGAAATCCATGAAATATATGATTAAAATTAATTGTTGACTTTAATTTAAAATAAAATCTGAATTTTAATTGATACCACATAGAAGATTAATTTTGCCTTACTTCTACTCGGCATTCATTTATCAAAATATGTTGAATTCCTTTCCTAGAAAATATGCCCATGCTAGTTTTCCCAATCTAGGCTATACTTTTTGTTGGATTGAAGTGAAACTCAAAAGAGTTTGGTCACATTTTCTTTCCTTTCATTGAGGTCAACGAGAATCTTTGTCAAATCTTTGATTTTTTTAGTCACATTCGTATTCATTGACATTCATGCTATAGGAACCCATAATACCATATGACATTTCATGATTGAATTGATTAAAACACGACTGTTATCCCACCCAATCACCTTCTGCCACGACATCTTCTATCACTACATCTGGCCAAATTCTTCCGACAAATAGCATTATTCATTGAAAGAACATTGTAGCTCAACCTATCTTAGCATTTTTCGTGAGCTCAAGTTATTGTACTAATCAAACAATAAAAAGATATTAAAAAATTTTCCGTAGTATTTTACTTTTTTGTCTAGCACTAAGCATGGCTCCTAAATATCATAGTAAATATGTGGGCTTTTCCTAGGAATTTTCATCTTTTAGAAATATGTCAGTTGTTATTGTGTCCTCTGAGCATGTTTCCTCAAAGATCAATAGACTATAGGTAAGAATTTTTTTACATTTTACTCAAGCTTATTTATTACATGCTGAACGCCTGGTATAGAAATTACATGAGACTAGGGAATGAGGGAAAAAAATATGTTTAAGGGCCTCATATTTACTAATACATGTTTTAATGTATATCTTGAACTGTGGCACAAAAATGGACAGAAAACAATTACTCACAGAATTAAGGAACTCTCTTCCTAATTGGAATCTCTCCAAGACAATGATTTGGGTTTTCAAAAATTAATATCTGCCTTTATTAACAACGAACGGTGGCTTTAAAAAGTCAATTTACAATAATGGAATGGAGAAAATTAAGCAACTAATAACTAGCTAACTCCCACGATACTAAGTCTTAGGAGCGGATTTGCTAAAACAAGGGAAGATTGGCCAAAACAGGAGAAATGGGGCCAATTTATTATAACTGAAATTGAAAGTGAAAGTGTTGCATCTGATATCCATGATCTTGCCACATCTGCAAATACGTGTCTCAATTCTACCAATTTTGCCAGCTATCTGATCATGTTACCTGGGGCTGCCACGTATTGCATCAATTGCCTCCCTCTCCAGAACTTGACTCCGGAAAGTTTTGCTGAAGATAGGAGTGCAAAATTTCTGGCTGAAGGCGCAAGATTTCATCTGCTTGGAGCCACACAGCCTCTGAAGGTGGCTTATTGGCCCACTGGACAAGGAATTTGTGATAACCTCCTCGACGAGTGGAAACAAACTGGTGGTCGAGAATGGCAGATATTTTTTCCATAGGAGTGGAAATAGGGGGAAGATGGATTGGGACTTCAATTGGCTGCTCGATGGGCTCAGTATCCGTAGGGAAGGCAGTGAGATCTTCAATATTGAAGACGCGGCTGATGTTGAAATCAGAAGGGAGTTCAACGACATATGCATTAGAACCAAGACGCTTCAAGATCTTGTATGGACCTGCCCATCGTGCATGTAATTTGCTGTAGCTACCAGGGGAGAATCGCTCAGGGCGTAGGCGAATGAAGACTTGGTTACCTACTGCAAAATGTTTCTCTTTGCGTCGTAAATTAGCATGTTGAGCATATAAATCGGTCCGCAAAGCAATTTTTTGCCGCACTTCTTCATGCAAGGTTGTCATGTAGCGAGAGAAATCAAGGCCTGCTTCACTGATACGCTGTGGTAGAGGCAAGGGGCTGATGTCCAGTGGCGTCTTTGGGTTATCCCCATAAACAAGCTGAAAACGTGTGCTTCCAGTAATCCTATTAACAGAATTGTTGTAGGCAAATTCTGCCTGAGGTAGAATGAGATCCCAGCTGGTGGAATGGTCTTGAACAAGACAGCAGAGGAGGTTGCCGAGGCTACAGTTGACAACCTCTGTTTGCCCATTAGTTTGTGGGTGAAACGCGCTAGAGAAGGATAGTTTAGTGCCCAATTTCGCCCACAAGGTCTTCCAAAAGTAGCTAATAAACTTGACATCACGGTCAGACACAATGGAGATAGGTATGCCATGCAACCGAATGATCTCTTTGAGGAATAATGCTGCTACATGGGAGGCATCATAGGTTTTCTGGCAAGGCAAGAAGTGAGCCATTTTGGAGAAGCGGTCCATGACAACCATTATTGAGTCATGATGTCTCTGGGTTCTAGGGAGACCCAAAACAAAATCCATACTCAGGTCCACCCAAGGGCGATGGGGAATTGGCAAAGGTGTATATAGTCCCGTGTTCTGCTTCGTCCCTTTATTTACCTGACATGTGCGGCATTGAGCAACAATTTTGTGGACATCACTTCTTAGTCGTGGCCAGTAAAACTGATCTGAAGTTAAAGCAAGTGTTTTATCAAAGCCAAAATGCCCAGCTAAGCCGCCACTATGGAGTTCGTTGATGATGAATGCTCTCATTGATCCTACTGGAACACAGATGCGGGAATCTTTGGTCAAAAACCCATCCTTAATTGCTTATGTGGACATAGAAGGAGGTGGGTTTTGTTGCAGCTCTAACCAGATAGTTCTGAAGTCTGGGTCCATTGGGTAGAGCTCCTTTAGGGCTGCAAAACCAGAAATGTTAACCGAAAAAATAGTCAGGAGGTTGGGCCTTCGGCTGAGGGCATCAGCTACTCTATTTTCCATTCCTGCCTTATGCTTGATGGTGAATGTGAACTGTTGTAGTTAGTCAAACCACCTAGCCTGCCTTGCATTCAACTGGCTTTGTGAGTTGATATGTTTCAGAGAGTCATGATTAGTAAAGAGAACGAACTCACGATGAAGGAGGTAAGGCCGCCAATGCTTCAAAGTCTGGATAAGGGCATAGAATTCCATGTCATAAGCTGAATAGCGTTGCCTGCATTCATTAAGCTTTTCACTAAAAATAGCAATAGGATGTCCCTCTTGTCTTAAAACTCCTCCAATGCCAATGTGTGAAGCGTCACAGGCAACTTCGAAAATTTTCGTGAAGTCTAGAAGCTGCAAACTGGTGCAGTGGCCATGCGTTCTTTGATTTTTTTAAATGCACGGGCTGTCGCAGGGGTCCAGTTAAATTTTTTTTCCTTCAAGCACTCGGTAATGGGTGCTATAATTGTGCTAAATCCTATATGAACCTTCGATAGGAGGTAGCCAAACCGTGGAAACTGCGAACGTAAAAAAAAGAACAAGGTACTGGCCAATCAAGAATGGACTTCACTTTGGATGGATCTGCTTCTACCCCCCTGTGGGATACAATAAAACCCAGAAAATTAGCACTAGGTTTCATGAAAGAACACTTACTTCTGTTGACCAAAAGTTGTTCTCGACGTAGGGTCTCCATGACTTGCTGAATGTGATTGAGATGGTCTAATTTGGAATGGCTGAAAATTAAGATATCGTCGAAGTAGACTACGACGAATTTTCCTAAGAATGACTTCAGTGCCTGGGTCATAACATGCATGAAGTTGCTAGGGGCATTGGTTAGCCCGAAGGGCGTCACAAGCCACTCATAAAGTCCTTCTTTAGTCTTGAACGCGGTTTTCCATTCGTCCCTAGGCCTTATATGAATTTGATGCTAACCGCTTTGCAAATCGAGCTTTGTGAATAGTGCAGCTCCCCTTAGCTGATCCAACATATCATCGAGGCGAGGAATGGGAAAGCGGTATTTGACAGTGATTTTATTAACCGCCCTACTGTCAATACACATTCTCCAACTTCCATCTCTTTTGGGTGTAAGTAGGGCTGGTACCGCACAGGGACTGAGGCTTTCCCTGATAAAACCCTGATCGAGAAGTTCTTGCACTTGTCTCTGTAATTCTGCATGTTCTGTTGGATTCATGCGGTAGTGAGGGAGGTTGGG